CCTAGCTATTGTGCATACTGCTGCTATGAATATTTGGGTGCGTGTGTCTCTTCAAATTAGGGTTTTCTCTAGATATATACCCAGGAGTGGGACCACTGGATCCTGTGGTAATTCTACTTTGAGGTTTTTAAGGGGCCTGCATACCGTTCTTTAGAGGGGCCACACCAAATGCATTTCCGCCAACAGGGTAGGAGAAGTTCCCTTCTCTCCACACCATCTCCAGCATTTATTACCTGTAGACTTTTTGATGCTGGCCATTCGGACCTGTGTGAGGTGATGCATCACTGTAGTTTTGATTTGAATTTGTCTAGCAGTTGGCAACATTGAGCATCTTCTCATGTGCTCATTGGCTATTTGTATGTCTTCTTTGGAGGAGTATCTGTTTTGGTCTTCTGCCAATTTTTTGGTGGAGTTGTTTGGTTGAGTCGTATGAGCTATTCATGTATTTTGGAAACTTGAGCCCCGTTGAATTGCAGCCCAGCCTGTAGGTTGTCTTTTTGTCTCGTTCACAGTTTCCTTTAATGTGCAAAATCTCGTGAGTTCTGTTCCACTTTCCTTTCGTTTTTCCAGGGCAGCAGTCATCAAGTCACACAGTAGTCTTTTCTCAAAGCTCCAGTTCCCTGGTCCTTACCTCTGGGAGGCTTTTTTTCTACCTTCTTGTTAATCATGGACGTTTAAGTGAATATTGGTGGGAACTCAGACATAAACTGCTTGAAAGCAGGGTGTTAGACCCCTGACATCTCTCTCTAATTTGCTGCTTTGTGATTGAAAAAAAACAAGCCAAACTTGGAATCTCTTCACCTGTGCTTTGGAAAAGACTAACATGTGACTTGATCACCTGGCCAGGTGTTTTTTTGGTGTCTTGGTGAGTTAAGAGTTAAGCATAAGCAGATACATTGAATCTTGATAGCAGGGAATCTCAGAACCAGAAGACAGTTAACTGTATCTAGCTCCCCCCCAAAAAGACATTCTGTTTGTAACATTTCAACAGACCCTGATGAGCTGTTTATCACTGAATGTAGAGTAATGCATTAGCCACAGTGAAGTATCAAGAGATGGTATAAGGCATTGTTCTTGCTTTCAAAGTAACTTACTTTGAAAAAGTAAGCCTCATAAGTAACAAGGGCAGATCAATAAGTTCACAGATCTTTTTATGTGAATGAAAAAAAAAAAAACCTTTTACTCTGGCAGATTTCAAACATACTAAGAAATGAAGAGAATAATGGACCTCCAAGTATTCATTACTAAGCATCAGAAATTTTCAACATTTTGCTTAACTTTTTTCAGGACTTTTTATTACAGAAAGTGTTTACATGTTATGTATTTACAGAAAGGGATAAGTGTACAATTTTCCTCTTTTATAATCTTTTATACTTGAATTTCAAGCCCTCCCACTCAAATTTCAGTTTTATTTTGTTAAAGCCATTTTTTTTTTTTTGCAAACACAGGTATTCTTCTTTGAAATGAAAGATAAAATTTCTTCTTCCATGTGTACCTCATTAAGTGATGGAATTATCTGCTGAACCTTGAATGTTTTGGTATTCCTATTTTTCCAGATACTTTCTCTCTGTAATAGTTATTATTTTGCTTCATTGCTCTTAAATGCTTTTTTATCAGATTTTTTTTTTTTTTTGGCTATGATTCAAAGCCTGTGGGGTCCTAGTTCCAACTTCCCAGGAAATGTGCCCCCTGCAATGGGAGCCCCCATTTATCAGAATTCTATGTTATTCCCATGCTCTTAATTCACGGAATGCCTTGAATTATTTTGCAGTTGGATATCTGATGTTTTTATGTTTTTGTGTCTCTTAGTGAACCATTTTCTCTACACAGAATCCATAATTGACCTTGGTAACCTGTTTTAGATTGTGACAATCTATGCTGAAGTGTCCCCTAGGTAATCCTTTCTGAATCTGAGGCCCGTGTGAAAGCATTGCTTCTCATAATTCACAGTAAGAATAAGGCAGAAGTCGTGACGAGAATTGTCTACTTGGTGAGTCTGTCAAGTAGGTTATTTTTCCCCTCTGTTCTTGTCACGTCATAGCAAAGAATTAAAACAACAGACAGACACAGCTCAAGCAGGCAGGATCTATTAGGCAAGCCACATGCAGGAGAGTCTTGAGAGATGAGAATGGACCCACACCTATTGGAGTGGTCTGGTCTCATTTTTAGGTTTTCCTTTGTATACATTTTTCTCTTCCCCCTTGGCGGTTCCTGGGGCTCCGTTGACTAAAATAGGGCTTGTATCTGCAGCCAATCAGGGAAGGGAATGCAATTAGGATGTATGGTCAAGCCAATCACGGAAAGGGGCGTGTTAGGCTTCTCCCCTTCCCGCCCCGCCCCCGCCGCAGAGGTTCTTATCCCAGGCCTCAAGTTTTCCTTTCCATGGGCTTTTTCCTTTCCTTTGTCTGCCCTGCACGTGGTTCTTTTAGTCGTCCCTTCCTCTGACTACCATCTTGGAGTCTGTTTCCCTAGTCTAACCTACCTAACACTAGAGTCCGTCCTATTAAAATATAGTTTCTGGGTATTATTGGCATTTGGGGGCCTGATCCGTCTACTGTGTGGAAGACTGTTCTCTGAGTTGTAGATGCTTAATGCTGTGCCAGTAGCTTCCCTCCTCCAGCTGTGACAACGGAAAAATGTTTCCAGACATTGCCTAATATCCTAGAGTCCCCTGGTGCAGTGGACATAGCCACCCCTGGTTGAAAGTGCTTGGTATCACTGTGGACGTGCCGTGATGCTTCCATGTTTTTATCAGGGGTTACTTGGCTCAGTCGGCAAAGAATCTATCTGCAATGCAGGAGGCCCGGGTTCAATCCCTGGGTCAGGAAGATCCCCTGGAGAAGGGAATGGCAACCCACTTATCCTTACCTGGAGAATTCCATGGACAGAGGATCCTGGCGGGCTGCGGTCCGCAGGGCCACAAAGACTCAGACATGGCTGAGGGACTCACACTGTCACTTCGTTTTATGTTTACCTTTGAGCATTAAGGAATATATTGCATTTGTTAAAATCATTTGCATGTCCCACCAATATTTTTCAGTCCCATAAATTCTTGCCAGCACGGTTAATGGATAGTGGTTCACTTTGGTTGTTCATAATGGGAAAATCAACAATGACAAGGTATTGGAAGGTCAGATTTCTCACTTTAACTTCTTATTTTTAGCAGTAAACTAATTAATTTTGTCATGTTGCATAACCAGAATGTCATTAACCAAAGTCGTATTTCACATGTTTTGTGTGTTTATAACACACAGATGATGTTAATTACTCTTATTGAATTTAACAACTTCTATCAAAGATAACCTTCACTTTGTGAATTACCATCTGTTTTGGACCAAAGAATAGGTCCAAATACTAAATACTAAGGCTTTTTTTTTTCTTCTCTGAACAGCTTGTAATAGGAGCTGTTTATATATTAATTGCCTAATTGAATTATTATGGATTTTAATGTTTTAATTTTCAAGCAATGTGGGGCTTATTGTGGTGACATCTGCTCATATTTTGATAGTTTATGGTATTTAGCAGTCTCATCAGAAGGCTATTCTGGGTTTGCAGTGCAGTCCTGAAAATAGTCATTTGCTTTCTGCGTCAGGTTACTCTCAGGAGTATTGTCCTATTTCATCTCTACTGGAGAATTTATTTCATAATGAAATGCATTTTTATTTTATAAGAAAAGTCCGTATTCCCTTGTCCCTGCTTCAGTCTAATGCCCTTAAATGTCTATTCAAACAAATGTAGAGTTTTGTTTAAATCTTATTTTCCTTCAGCGGTAGATTTTTTTTTCAGTTCTGGTTATTACTTTCATCTTACAGATCCTTATGATGTTTTAAAAATGTACTGTAATGAAACTTAACAGCCTATGAACCTGCTTATAGAATCTTTTTAATCTCCTTTCTTTGAACAGTGTAACTATAAACATACCTCAGTGGGAATAATTTCCTTGAATTTCCTTAAAAACATTTCAAGAGGTTCTGATTAATTCCCTAATAAGAAACAGCTTCATTCATAGCCCCGCTTCTGAATTTGAATTACATTAAACCTGGCACCTTTTTATATCACTTAAGACTATTGAACAAGAATTTACAGAAAATGGAAGTCATTTAATTTCTAACACATATATATGGAATTTAATTTCCTTAGTTTTTGAGCGTGTGGATAATTTAAACCCTGTAGGAGCCTGGATTCACTCACAACCAAAGACATTTTGTAAGGAAGAAGATACATATCCTTAAATATATGCTGGTTGACTGCTTTGTATTTATATTGACTGAAAAATTATAAACAAGTTCCTGGTCTGAAGGATTATCTTGTGAGATATACCCCTGGATTCTTCAGAAATCTGTGCAAATACAGAACAGCTCTGAAATGGAAATATAGGAGAACAATAGCAGAAAACTTGAGACCTAGTAGTCAGTGCTTCCTTTTGCTTTATTTTAGGAAGCCGAAAGAAGGGGGGAAAGAAAAGATTCTAATGTTTCCCTGTTCGCATGAGCACATAAATGAGTGAATATCTGCACACAGACATGCATGGCGTGATTATTGTAACATTGGCCCAAGCACTGTTTATAAACTTTCTGTGAAGCATCTTTCTTCTATTTAGGGCATGTGCAGTTTAATTTATTGACTGTATATGATACACTCCATAAAACAAAGATATTTCAAGTGGGCATTCATTATCACTGAATGATGCAGGAACACTTGTCTGAGCTAAAATCAGTTTTATTTTCTTTGAGACGTTTGCCTTGTAATTCTCCGCATGTACCATAATGCTGATGGCTGGGTTTAATTACTTCCTTTTTCACATTGCAAATAAAACTGCATAGTTTGTGTTAAAGTTGGAAGACAGAGGGTATGAAGCAGTAAAATGTGTTTGAGATGACAAAGGAAAAGAAGAATAGGATAGATCAAAGGTGAACAATTCCCAAAGAATATTCAGGTTTCTTTTGTTTTTTTCTTTCTTTTTTTTTTTTCTTTTTTTCAACCTCCTTGTTTCTCACCAGGCAGGTCCCAGCAGACACTTGGCGGTTCCTATGATCGGGTGCTGGGGAGGCCACTGGTTCAGAGATCTACACATGAAGTCACCCTAAAGGTACACCCCTGCCTTTGATCTTCGCTCTCTACCTGAAATTCGTTTCAAACTGAACTGCATTTTGCCAAAACTGTGAACACCTTCTGTTTTAACATGATCTCTTTAGAAGGAGTCTGAGGTCTGTCTTCTTGCTGAAGTTCAAAGTAATTGTTTAATCGCTAAGTCGTGTCTGACTCTTTGCGACCCCGTGGACCGTAGCCCACCAGGCTTCTCTGTCTGTGGGATTCTCCAGGCCACGAATACTGGAGTGGGTTGCCATTTTCTTCTCCATGAAGGTAATAGACAAAGCGTTGTTAAATAATGATGTGCTACTTAGTTGATTCTTTAAGATGAATTGGGCTTTTTTGCCTTCTAAGAATGGAAAATTCTTAGAGATGGGGCTACCAGACCACCTTACCTGCCTCCTGAGAAATCTGTATGCAGGTCAAGAAGCAGACAGTTAGAACCAAACATGGAACAACAGACTTTTTCCAAACTGGGAAAGGAGTACGTCAAGGCTGTATATTGTCACCCTGCTTATTTAGCTTATATGCAGAGTACATCATGAGGAACGCTGGGCTGGATGAAGCACTAGCTGGAATCAAGAGATTGCCGGGAGAAATATCAATAACCTTAGACACGCAGATGACACCACCCTTATGGCAGACAGTGAAGAAGAACTAGAGCCTCTTGATGAAAGTGAAAGAGGAGAGTGAAAAAGTTGGCTTTTTCACTAAGACCATGTCATCCGGTCCCATCACTTCATGGCAAATAGATGTGGAAACAGTGGAAACAGTGACTAACTTTATTTTCTTGGGCTCCCAAATCACTGCAGATGGTCACTGTAGCCATGAAATTAAAAGATGCTCGCTCCTTGGGAGAAAAGCTATGACCAACCTAGACAGCATATTAAAAAGCAGGGACATTACTTTGCCAACAAAGATCCGTCTAGTCAAAGCTATGGTGTTTGCAGTAGTCATGTATGGATGTGAGAGTTGGACCATAAAGAAAACTGAGCGCCCAAAAATTGATGCTTTTGAACTCTCTTGAGAGTCCCTTGGGCTGCAAGGAGATCATACCAGTCCATCCTAAAGGAGATTAGTCTTGAATATTCATTGGAAGGACTGATGCTGAAGCTGAAACTCCAGTCCTTTGGCCACCTGATGCAAAGAGCTGACTGATTTGAAAAGACCCTGATGCTGGGAAAGATTGAAGGGAGGAGGAGAAGGGGACGACAGAGGATGAGATGATTGGATGCCATCACTGACTCGATGGACGTGAGTTTGAGCAAGCTCCAGGGAACAGGGAAGACAGGCGTGCTGCAGTCTGTGGGGTCGCAGAGAGTCGGACACGACTGAACTGAAGATGAAGCTGAATGCTGAACCAGCTATTTTAAACTTTTCTGGGTCTTACCAGGAGCAGATGACACGTTCTAAAATCAATCCCTCTCGTCAGCATTATGAATTGAAATTAAGCTGCAAAATTGATTATAATTGAGGGCATGAGTCTGTGTCTTATCTGGCTCCTGTATCTTAATTCTTTGGTTTATTTAGTTTCTTAATATGATTTGTGTCTATCTGCAAGTGGATTTCCTACTTAACCTTGGAAGTTATTAGAAAAACATGTAGCTTACTATCGATAGATCTAGGATGATAAGGTATACCCAGAGGAGCAGACCAAACAATCATAGATGCACAGACGTCAAGAATGGAAACCCAGGGAGTTCTTTGGTGGGTCCAGTGGTTAGGACTCTGCACTTTTCCAATACAGGAGGCATGGGTTCCATCCCTGGTCAGGGAACTATGATCCCGAAAGCCTGTGGCCAAAAAAGAAAAAAAAAACCGAAAAACCAGGGTTGAAGCCCACGTCTCAACCTAAAGCTGATGGTTTCCCTCCACCCTCTGTCAAGAAGAAGCACTGTTAATATTTTAGAAGATGGGATTTTAGGGTTTGATTTTATCCTTTACATTTTGTGTTTTCTGGTTCTTTAATTGTTTTAATGGAAAAAAAACTGATAGAAGTTTTGTAATTTTAAAAACATATAAAAGATGGAAATTTGCAGAAGATCTTTTTTTTGCTATACTGTTTTAAAAAGAACCAATCAGAACTAAAATGATAGGCCCAAATTTAACCACAAGAACAACAATCTGATGAGGTATTTTTGTTTAAGGCCAAACATGTAGCAAGGTAAATATGTACTTTTGGCCCTTGACTAAGGTCATCTGCACCGGTTTGAACTGCACCGGTCCACTTATACATGGATTTTTGTTTTTTCAGAAAATACCTTCTGCTTTATATAGTCATGAGTGAGTCCACAGATGATGAGCTAAGGATATGGAGGGCCCACTGTAGTTATAAGTGGATTTTCAGCTGTGTGGGATTTTCACCCCAAACTCCATGTTGTTCAAGGGACAGCTCTATTAGAATTTCAATATTTTACTTAAATATCTGGAAGGGGTAGTTTGATTTTTTTTTTTTTTAATGAAAAATTAGAAAAGGTTAATTGAGTCTGTGTCATCGGATGTTTAGGTTGTAGCGTGAGTCTTTTAATGGCCAAAGAGTATTCCATTTGTATGGATGTACCACTGCGTTGTATTTATCCATTCATCAGCTGATGAACATTTGAGTTGTGTTTGCTTTTGTTGAGTTGTTCAGGAGAGCGCTGCCGTGAACATTCATGTACAAATTTTATCCAGATGTGTACCTTCATTTTCTCTTGGGTCTGTACCTGAGAGGAGAATTGCTCTGTCATTTGCTAACTCTTTAACATTTGGAAGAAGCATCCCAATTTTTCCAAAGTGGCTGTGCCATCAGTCAGTATTTTTAACACGCAGTTAAGTCACATTTTAAATGTCAGAGGGAAGAGGGGAGAGAGAAGGTCTTTTGCTCATCAGTGTCTTGATTGAGTCTGAATTCAGTATTCAGGGAACACGTAAGCTTTGAGGGAATTGAACTGAGCACACACATTGACTTCCTGCTGTGAGTTGGGCATTGGTGTTTAGTTTCATAGATGACTCTGGAAATTTGTGTAGCCTTTGATGAGTCCGTGTGTGATTTTGACGTGCAGATGTTCATTTGAGATTATGCTGGGGAGTGGCATTGCTGCTCACATACCACAGTTCCCATGGCGGCTCCGTGACCATGAGCTTGGGAGTCATCTGTAAATCACATCCCTTTCTCTCTGCGCTGGATACTGTGCGTCAGAAAGTGAGGGCTCATGTCTGTTCCTATTGTTGTTCAGTCACCAAGTTGCATGTGACTCTCTACGACCCCATGGACTGCAGCACACCAGGCTTCCCTGTCCTTCACCATCTCCCGGAGCTTACTCACACTCCTGTCCATCGAGTCGGTGATGCCATCCAACCATCTCATCCTCTGTCGTCCCCTTCTCCTCCTGCCTTCAATCTTTCCCAGCATCAGGGTCTTTCCCAATGAGTCAGTTCTTCGATCAGGTGGCCAAAGGATTGGAATTTCAGCTTCAGCATCAGTCCTTCCAATGAATATCCAGGACTGATTTCCTTTGGGATGGACTGGTTGGATCTCCTTGCAGTCCAAAGGACTCTCAGGAGTCTTCTGCAGCCCCCCAGTTCAAAAGCATTGGTTCTTCGGTGCTCAGCCTTCTTGATGGTCCGACTCTCCAATTCGTCAGGACTACTGGGAAAACTGTAGCTTTGACCAGACAGCTGTTTGTCTGATCCCACTTGATTTGACCTAGTTTCAGCAGGTCTCTCCTCGGAATGCGATGGACACACAGCAGATGATGGCTGTGGTGTCTTTCTGGCTCTTCATTGCAGAGTGACCGGTGGATTATCCCCGAGGAGCGTCCCCATTCTTGGGGCATCACCCTTCATGTTCCCAGACAGGAAGATTTCCGGCTGGAAATCGACAAGGCGGGCGTGCTCTGATGGAGCCCGGGGAGAATCTTCGGGAGAGCGAGGTTGGCAGATGTTTTCCGTCAAGAGTCAGAGGGTAGATGTTGATGGTTGATGCTTTGTGGGCCCCGGGGTCCCCGTTGCTTTCTTCTGCCTTTCTCCTGTTAGAGCTGCTACTGATCATACACAAATGAGTGAGTGTGGCTCAGTGATGGTAATACTTGGCCAACAGGCGCTGGAATTCCAATGTCATCACAATTTCACAAGTGGCAAAATAGGGTTCTTTTGATTTTCCTTGCAACCGTTTAGAAACAGAGACGCCGTTGATCGCTCCTTAGCCTTACGGGAGGTGGTCGATGTGTGAGTGTGCCTGTGGTCTGCAGTGCGCCAGCCTTGACCTCCAGAAAGACACCTGTTTTATTTCTCCGTCTTCTAACTGTGACCTTTGAGTTGAAGGGCCTCTGTCATGCAGCTTTGCGAGGCCCATGGCCCAAGGCGTCCACCTTATGGTTTCCCTGGTGGTTCAGATGGTAAAGAATCCAACTGCAGGGCCGGAGACACAGGTTCGATCCCTGGGTCGGGAAGATCCCCCTGGAGGAGGGCATGGCAACCCACTCTAGTATCCTTGCCTGGAGAATCCCCATGGACAGAGGAGCCTGGCAGGCTACAGTCCCTGGGGTCTCAAAGAGTCAGACACGATTGAAGTGACTAACACTTTATTACTGAGTTGTGGTTGCTTGGCCACGACCCTGCAGTCGCTCATGGACTTGAGGGAATTGCATGGCCTTCCATGAGCAGAGTGGCTCTGGACGTATGTAACCAGTCTTCCCCAGGGGACGTTTGATCTGGAGACCTTTGAGGAAGATGTTTGCTCCTGACACCCAGTGGGTGGAGACCAGGGATGTTGTTCAACATCCTCCAGGGCATCAGGGAACCCATCACAGAGATCTGTGTGGTCCCGAGCGCCCACAATACCGAGACCGACGACCCCTCCCTGCTCCCGTCGGTATTTCTGTGTTTTGATCCGCACAGTCCTCTGGCTGTGGGGATTTCGCCTGCCGAGCGTTTGATGACAAAACTTGAATGCCTTCCGCTTGCTGATTTTAAGTGTCAAAGGACACTCCTGGGATACTCGGCTTCACGATGCTT